TATATAACACAAAAAACACTTGAAATTTTAACTTTTAAGTAGTAATTTTTTTTATAACACGCGTCAAGAAAAGGAAAAAGGTGAAAGTTAAAATTGATATCATGATTTCTATAATCAACTGTAGATCTTCAAGACCTTGTAATAAATTTAGATTTATTAGAACAAAAAAAATATATAAAAGATGAATTTGAGTTAGGGTTTATGTGAGTAAAATGAGATAAGAATAGGGGAAGAACCCTTTTAGCACAAAAACTGCAATCTCTCTCTTGAATTTGTTACTATTATCCTTCCCCTTTTATGACTCAACAATTATTTTATTTCTTTTTTTACTATGAATTTTAAATTTTAAATTTTTATATTGTGAAATTAGGATTTTTTATATTTTAAAAAAAAAAATTGACATAAGACATTGTAGTATCTTAAAATTCAATATTAAAAATATTTCTTCATGAGTGAATAATTGAAAGCAATTAAAAAATTTTAAAAAAATTATTTTGTACCTATAACAAATTTTAGATATTTTTTTTCTCTTAGTTGATATTTGTAAATTTCTAAGATATTTTAAATGAATAAAAGTGTATGAAAGACAAACTTTCACTCAAATACCAAAATAAAATGAAGGGACATATTTAGTTATAAGAGAGTAGGGTAACTGTCCCACTATTTTTTTAATCATTTATAAATTTATAAATAAAATATTTTAAACCATAAATTATAAAAAATTTGAAACGTTGTTTAAAATAATTTTTAGCATGTGCAAAACTACATGACTTTCTTCGTAAAGAATGTCATTTTGATGAATTTCTAATTGGAGTGGTGGACAAACCTTCATCTTCAACATTACCAGTTAATAAAATCATAATTTTGAGCCTATTATTAAAGCTCAGGAGCAAGAGCGAAAATATGCTAATGCTTGGAGGACTAATATAGTTATTTAGAAGGATATGATATTACGGGGAACTAGTATTAATATTATTTATCCAGACATTGTTATTTTTTTTTATATTATTTTTGTCTTTGACTATTTTTAAATTTGAATGTGTAAAAAAAAATCTTGATTTCTTATCGTATGTTAAAAATCTACAAAATTTTGCAAAATTCACAAAATCCCGCAAAATCCATTGAAATCATAACTTAAGGGGGGTGTATTGGTTTAGGATTTCGTAGGATTTTAAAAGACTTTTTTTGAGTAAAAAAGTCCATTGGTATTCAATCAGGATTTTATGTCACTTAAAACCAATCCAGTGGTATTCAATCTGGATTTTCAAGATTTTTTAAAGAGTCCATTAAAATCCACTGGTATTCATTTGAGATTTTTTACAACTTAAAAACAATCCATTGGTATTAAAAAATATAAGGATTTTAAAGGATTGTTGTGTGAGAGGGATTTTGAAGGACTTTCTAGTGTTATCTATAAATACCAGATTCATAAAACAATCCCATCCAAACCCAACGGATTTTGAAGGATTCTTTGAAGTGATTTTTCAAGTGTTACAATAATTTTCAAGTGGGTTTTTCATCTTTTTTTTTCTATGCTCCTGTCTTCTCCATTTTTTCTCTACTAATAATACTATACTATTATTCATTGCTCATATATAATATTGTAGTACTGTTCTCATCCCATTCTCCTATTTTGTGAAACTCTGATATGTAAATGATAGTGTCATTGACTTGCTCTATTTTTCTGTTCGTTCTCTTTAATTGACTTGCTTTATTTTATTCTATGTAGTTGAATTTGTTCCTTTATATAACAAAAAAAATGCTTGAAATTTCAACTTTTAAGTGGTAATTTTTTTTATAACATACGTCAAGAAGAAAAAAAAGGTGAAAGATGAAATTGATATCATAATCTCTAAATATATATATATATATAAATATATATATATAAGATGAATTTGTTAGGGTTTCTGTGAGTAGAATGAGATGAAAATGGATCTTAGTTGGGGGAAGAACCCTCTCAGCATAAAAACTGCGAACTCTCTCATTCCCTTGAATTTGTTACTCTTATCCCTCCTTTTATGACTCAACAATTATTTTATTTTTTTTACTATGAATTTTTCTTTTTATTTTTATATTGTGAATTTAAGATTTTTTTTTATATTTTTAAAAAAGAAAATTAACATAAGACATTGCAGTATCTAATTTTTTAGGATTTAGGATTTATGCCTTCATTAGCTTATTTTTTAAAAAATAAAATATTGTTAAAATATTTGTTAGAATAATTTACATTTATAAATATCGTTAAAAAATTATCATATAATATATAACTAAAATAAATATATATATATATATATATATATATTCTCTATATCTAAATACTCCTATTTATATAAAAAGATTATATATCTAAATATTTTCTCAGTATCGAATATACTAATTTTTTTAATATAAAAAATTATCTTTTGTTTCTATATTTTCGTTTTTACATTTTTTTTATAATGATTGAGATATTTGATCCATTTGGATAGCCAAGATATATTCGATCTTGTATAATTGATGTGCTTCTAAAAATAATAATATAATTTTATTGATTTTGTCTCTTATCCATAATTATTTATATAACTGGTTTTCAACATATATTATTTTAGTAATTCAAATGGGAGATTCACATGAAAATAATAAAGAAAAAGGAAAAGAGAAAGAAAACTATGAAGCTTAGACCAAGGAGGATTCCGATGAATTGTTATAATTGATAGTGGATGCTATAAAAAGATGATAGAATATTATGGAGAATTATTATTATTATTTATCTAGACATTATTATTTTTTTTAATTATTTTATCTTTGACTCTTTTTAAATTTGAATGTATGAATTTTTTTTTAAATCTTATCAAATGTCAAAACTCCACAAAATCCCACAGAATCCATTAAAATCCTGATTTAAAAGTCTTGTAGAATCCATTAAAATCCTGATTTTAAATCTTGTAGAATCCTGCAAAATCTTAAAAGTCATGAAAATCCTGCAAAGTCTTTTAAAATCCGCAAGATTTTTTTTCACTAAAAAAGTCCTTTAAAATCCTAATCCAATACACCCCCCTAAAAGTCTTGCCGAATCTATTAAAATTCTGATTGAAAGTCTTGCTGAATCCTACAAAATTTTAAAAGTTATGAAAATCCTACAAAGTCTTTTAAAATCCACAGGAATTTTTTAACTAAAAAATTCTTTAAAATCCTAATTTAATATACCCCATAATGATTGATTATGACATATAAAATTAAAGTTTAGAATGCCAATTTGTAAAATAAGTAAAGTTTAGGGTGAGTAAATACTCTTTTCTCACAAAAATAAATTAATAAAAAATTAATTAAAATAATTATTATAACTATATTAAAAATTCAAATCTTATATTACACCAAAACCCAAGCGTCGGGAATACAAATATCAATTTTTATTTATTAGAATTGAGATACTTCGTGAACTTTATCATAGACTAAAAAAATCAAACATAACTTTATAAGAAAAACACATAATATTAAAACCAAACAAATATAATATTGATATATTTAAATCCAAATCATAATCATATTTATTTAAGTAAAAATATAATTAATTTACATATATATATAACTAATATATTATTTATTTAATTATATTAATATATAATATATGCTAGATAGGTATTATATAATATTCAAATCTGGACCCATAATACCTACACAATTTTTTGTAGATGTATACTCGCACCGCACTTAGACCCAAAATTATTTATGGGTAAATATTGTCTCCTTTTTACAAGTATTCATGAGGTTTAGTACACTTTACTGTCCCTATTTTAAATATATTAACTATGTGTATCAAAACTAATTTTATTAAATATAAAATTTTATATATTACTATTTTCTTACTGAAATTACAATTCAAAACTAAAACATGTATCAAGAATTAAATTACCTGTAATTAATATATTTAATTTTAATCATTAAACTGTAATTAAGTTTAAAATGAATAACATTTGATAAATGTTTTTTAATTATTATTTTGAGTCTATAAATTCTATTACTTTTTTTTCCGGGGGAAATTGTTATAATATTAACAATTTTATCTATACTAATATATAAAGAGGATAATAAGTTAAATTCTCATTGCAACTATTTTTGTAATCTTTCATATCTTTAAAAAAAAAGATACCCTTCTCAGTAACTATATTGATCTTCACTTTTTTTTTGACCATTATACCTGTTTATTTTAAAAAATTAAAAAAATATTTTAATTAAATTTAAGAACTTAAAATTAATGAATTAGTCATAATATCAATTAGATTAATATATTTTTATTATTTAATTTTTATTTTATTTATTTTTAATAGAGGCATGAAGTGCCTCAACTCCATTAATAAGATATAAGAAAAATACGAATATTAGATATAATAAGATAGAAAATAATAGATAATTCCTTAAAAAAAATAAATAATAGATAATAAATACTTTCTCTTAAATTGACTACAGTTTTATTATTAAAAAAATAACTTAAAATAATTGATATTTTCACTTTATTTTTTTACACCTTTTCACTTTAGTTTTTATTTTTATTTTTTATTTATATAATATTAATTATTATTTTTCTTAATTTATCTTTTCATAAATTATTCATCTATCATAATTAAAATCAATATATTTATTAAAAGACTAAGATTATTTTAGTAAAATTATTTTGTAAAATAATATTTATTATTTTTTCTTTATCCAGATGTAAAAACTTCAAACAATGATATTTTTAGATGGAAAAATAATATATTATTCCACAATAATTGTTAAAATATAAAATTCTAACAAGAGAATTTTACTTGCATCTATTCTTAAAAGTGGAATCAAATAACAAAAAAGATTTATAAAAATTTTGTTCCCTCCCATGCAATTGGCCCGAACAAAGAAACACTATGTAAGTGTATTACTATTTCCTACCATAGGTTCACGTGATATTTAATTTAATCTTTTTGTTTTTGGTAATTCTATTTAATTTAATTTAATAAAATACAAAATAAAATGGGGCATGTGTTTGTGTGCGTAAGAAGGAAACGAGTAGCGTGCTTGAAAAATCGAACAAATTTGAAAAGTAACGAAACGTGTTCGCTTCTGGGTTGACCCTCCTTCGTTTTCACCTTAATTTTTAGGGTTTCATCTTCCTTTTCGCTCATTCCCAATTTCTCAATCTCTCTCTCTATCTCTCTCTGCTCCTCAGCTTCTACGCCTTCGATTTCGATTCAATCACTCCCACTTGTTTTATGGAGGTAGGGTTTCGTTTCACTTTCTTTTTTTTTTTTTTTTTTCCCCAATTCCCTCGATTTTCTTCGATTCGATGCATCTTCAGTTTTTCACTTCAGCTTCCTCTTGCGCTTTAATTAGGGTTTTGTTTCGGATTATTAGGGTAGATTATTGGGGAGAGTGTGATGGGTTTGTGTGTGGAGCACGTGGATGGTGGTTCATGCTGTGTGATGCTACCGATTATTTCTCGGGAGTAGAATTTTGATTGAACCATGTGGTTGCATGCTTCTTTTGATATTTTGTAGGTGGAGAATGGAGATCTTTTGCTGAATTGTTGTTTTAATGTGTGTGGTTCTTGCTATGCACCATGCAGGTATAGATAGATGATGGGAAAAGGTGTTTCAAGGGAGAGCTTTCAACCCAAGACGTGCTCTGGGAAGAAAGAGAATTTCAAAAATGTTGTGTTCATTGATGATGACAGTGATCCATTTGACGATGTGGAGATCATAGATTTCCCCGAGTTCAAGTCTAAGTCGCATGGATACGGTGCACCGAGTAGGGACAGGGTGCATACACCGCAGAGTGTTATCAGCATTGATGATGATGATGATGATGATGACGAGGAAAGTGATGATGCGGAGGCTCCTGGAATTGTTGCTGGAGGTGTTGGGGAGTGGGATAGCGATGAGTCCTCCAGCAAAAGGCTTTCTCCGGACTCAATGGCCAAGCGAAATTCTATACATATAGATGTTGATGCTGAAGTGCTAAAAAGTAGGAAAGCCAGCTCTGCAAATGATACTGGCAGAAATCGCTATGGTTTAAATGGGTCTGGAAGTGAGTCATCAGATAGTGATTGCTCCGATTGCGAACTCATGGATCGTGAACAATGGGAAAAGATTTCACTTAAGAGAAAACGCTGTGTGTTTAATGATCAACCTTTTTATGATGACCAGCCTAGTTCTTCTGGATTACATTGTAATAGTAATGTTTACATTGATGTTGATGACGAATATAGGACTGAACAGAATGCTGGAGGCACAGAAGATTCTGGTCCTGCCAATGGTAAATATTTCAAGGAGTATCAATCTTCTTCTGTTAAGGGTGATAGTCAAGTAGATGGGATATATTTTAATCTTGGGGCAGAAAATCCTATCAAGGATTCTGATAAGAAAGTTGAGTGGGAAGATTTTAAATCTTCTTTATTTGAATCCACAGAGAAAATGGAACAGTTGCATGGGAGTTCTGATATTGAGCGTGGAAAAAGTACAAGCAGCAAAGATTTCTCTTCCAGCACCCAGTTTAAAAACTACAATTTCTGTAGTGGTGATGCTGGTGTTTCAAGGTTCATGAAAGAATTCAGTGTTAAAGAGTCTAACTTTGTGAACTTGAGCCAAGAAGCATCTGAGAGGCAAGTTAGCAATACTGGATCTGCACTGAAGAGTAAATCTGACAATTTATCTGAAGTGAATTCTGACTGTGCCACTGTTGATGAAGAACATGTTAATTGTGATGAGCTTGCTTTAAAGGATCAAGATTGTGGTCTTGTTGCTTTCAATGACAATAGAGATATAATTAGTGAAAGAGAAAAGCTTAAGGAGACTGATGAATATAAACAAGCAATGGAAGAGGAATGGGCATCTAGGCAGCGACAATTGCAAATTCAGGTGATACTCGTCCCATTATTTAAATATTTTATGCTCATGTTTGGACAAGAGGCTTAATTAAACAGTTATAGAATAGGAGCTTATCACTATAGTGCTAGACTGCTAGTTTTATAAGCATGTAAGTCAATATGCTTGGTTTGATTGGATAAGCATAGGATTTGATTTACAAATTATGACCTTATAAGCTGTTTCTAGCTTATTTTTGTAAGTTTCACAAATAAGCTATAAAGTGCTTATATTCACTTATTCATGACTGATTAACCATTTTCACTAACTTAATCAAATGGTCTGAATTTTAAGCCCAAGTGCTTATATGCTAATATAAGCGAAATAATCTTTGTGGAAGCTCTTCCAAATTCCCGTGTTCCAACTTTTCCCTTAGATACATTGGCTCTTCAAAGTGTGCTCATTGGTCTTACAAGTTGCAGAGGGGCCAATTGCTTGCGAAGCACTGAAACCTTTAGGAGGTGGTTGGTAGAAGGAAAATTTTTTCTTGCCTAGGAATCATGGTTTCTGAAAATCATAAATTCTGGGAATCATGATTTCTAGGAATGATTAAATCTGTTTGGTTAGTCATAAATGTTTTTGAGAATGTTTATAAATATTACATGGGAGTCAAAGAGTTTTACTGTATTAATTAAGCAAATTAAGATGATGTAATACTTTTAAATGGATAAAAAATTCTTATAAAACTTTCCTTTTAACTCGGGAATGTTAGATTCCCAGCTCCTCCCATGGGAACAATTTGGTAGGAAATTTTTATAAAAAACATTTTTAGGAAACTATGTTTACTAGGAATGTTATTTTTAATATGATAAACCAATCGAAAATAATATTTCCCTTCCCAAATTCAGATATCTAGGAAAGTAAAAACATTTTGTGTATCAAACGTCCATATATGATAAGCTAAAAAGAGCATTTAGAAGGGTCATAAGTCATAACTTATAAGCCTCTTTCATTATTTTAGTCAAACACTTTGTCAGCTGAAATGCCTATATGATAAGATGATCCCAAATATGCTGAATGGAAGCACTTCCAGATGCCCCTCTATTTCTGTTTCAATCTATTCCCTTAGATGTCTTGGCTCTTCAAAATGTGTTCCTGGTGACCTCACAAGTTGATGAGGAGCCAATTGGTTGTGTAAATGCCTATTCCCCTTAGATGTCTAATTTTATCGTTTAGGGATGTCTATCTTCTCTACATTTTAAGCTGTTGGTGTTTGGACTTTAGATTTAGTGCATGTTTGGAAGAGTGTTTTTAGAGGGAAATAACCACATATTTTGCAAAAGTTCTCTCACTGCTTGCACAAATAAGCGTTTATTTTCTCAAAATTAGCTCAATCAAACATGCACTTGCTTCAGAGAGAGAAGTATACAGAGGGAAGTTATGGAAGTCTACTAATAGAACTGAGCAGAAAATAACCAAGAGAAAAGAAAACAAATGGAGCAAAGCTGCACAATGTGTTGTCATATCTATGATTCTGTTTAAGAAATGCATTCTATGAAATCAAAGAAAAACACCAAATCTTCCAAATTAAGTGTTGTGCCAAAAAACCTTGAAATTGCTGAAGTTCTGCTTTAATCAAAAGCACCAGAATGCGACATAACTGCTTCTGGCATGATTAAATTTAGCTCTGTAGCTTATTTCAATAAATTTCATGGTTAAATTTATCACAAAAGTTATCATGTGGTAAAGGGCCAGCTTGTTTAAATTTAAAAACGTGTTGACAAAAAATGTTTTTTAAAAAACAATTCTTTAAGAAGTAGAAAAGAGTTGCTTCTTGAAAAAAAAAAGAACTGTTTTTTTTAAAGTAGTTTAGACAAACATATAAAACGGTAGAAAACTGTTTATTTTATTAAAAAAACAATTTTTTAAGGGACAAAGTTTACACATATGGGCCAAAAAGCTTGTTGAATAAGTATTTAATTAAGCAGTTATCATTGTCAGCCCATAGTCCTGTGTCATGTCTACCTGACGGCATTTAATTATTACACCCTAACACTTTCTACATTTTGGATGTTTTTTGCCTAATTGCACTATATGTGTTTTATATATTATGTTTAGGGAAACTTGCTGTTATGATTATGATGTAGTTACTTAATTCCTTAGACTGAGATTATGCATGCTTGTTCTTATACAGGCAGAGGAAGTGCAGAGATTACGCAAAAGAAAAAAGGCTGAAAAGCGCTTACTGGATATGCAAAGAAGGCAAAAAGAACGCATTGAAGAAGTGAGAGAGACCCAAAAGAAGGTTGCAATTATGTCTTTAATTTATAATCCATTTCTTATGCTAATTATCCTTCACTTTACTATTTGGAATTTCCCCTCTTTTTATTATGTATGACCATTTGAATGTCTCCTTTGATGTTCAGTGTAGACATAATATACTCATGGAAAGTTTTTAGTAACTGTTTATTTCTCTTTCAATTTGGAAAATAATGCCAACTTCAGGATGAGGAATTTATGAACCTGAAAGAGAAATTGCGGGTTGAAATACAGAAGGGGCTTAATCAATTGGAGATGCAATGCCATGATATGACCTCACTGCTTCGTGGCTTAGGAATACATGTGGGAGGAAGCTTTATCCCTTTGCCCAATGAGGCAAGTTGTGTTTGTATATTGTTTTTCAATAATACATCATTATCTATCTCACTGGATAGTTAAGAGTCTATTGTTTGAATGCTATGCTATGCACATTTTATTGGTATATTTATACATTATTCAAGATGCAATAACTTAAACATATAAGTAAACTGAGATCATGGTTGCTATTAAATATTTCTGTTAAGAAAATCAGCTAATACTCCTCTGATAACAATTATACAAAAATCTTACCTTATGCAAGTTACATTATTGTTTTTTTCACTGGTGCAGTGGATGCTATTAAAACTTAACGCTCTTAAAACTGTTGTACCGAAAATTCTGGATCTTTTGACAAATTCCATTTTCACGACCCTTCCCCTCGTAAACTTTTCATATTTTGAATTAATGGCCTGTTTGGCATCATTAGCCATTAAAGAAAAATTTCTGGACTTTTCAAGAGACCAATGCAAATTGATAAGGGGGAGGTGGTGAATCAGTGATGATGGTTTTGTAAAGTCCACTGCCTGCTGGCTTTGTCAGCTAATAGCGGTTCTGACTTGTGATTTATCCAAAGCTCTCTTCCGTTCCGTGTTTGATGCTAATATTTTTATGTTGATGGTCATTTCAGGTGCAAGCAGCCTATAAACGTGCCCTGTTTAAGTTTCATCCAGACCGTGCATCAAAAACTGATATTCGTGCCCAGGTTGAGGCCGAGGAGAAGTTCAAGCTCATCTCTCGGTTGAAGGAGAAGTTTTTGTTGACCTCATGTCACTAAATGCTTACAACTGAATAAATGTGGTTGTCGGTATTTGGTGTTTTAATTGAAGTGCTATTACGTCATAGGCTTATTTGTTGGTATTCTTATTTTAACTGTATTTATTAGTCTCCCCTTCTTCCCCCCTAAATTTACAGCAGATAATAGGTTAATGGACTAGAATATGTGAAGATCTTGTCTCTTAACAAATGTTAATATTTTTTTGGGAATGGACAGTAACATTGATATTACTGTCCTCACCATGCTATTTATTGGGCACACTTTTTTTTTTTTTTTTTTTTTTTAGGAAAATACGTGCATTAAAATTGAGAGTTTGAGGCCTGCATAACTTCCGCGAAATCCGATTCCATCTATACACACTCACTCAGGAAAAGATGGGCCAAGAGAAGCCGAAAGATGAGCTGGTTCACTATCTGACCTACCAAACTTGTTAAATGATGAAATTTCTTAAGGTAGCAAGCTGATGGAAAGTCATTCAAAATTTTAATCTTGTTTGGTCTGCCTTCATTGCTCTTGAAACAGGATACTACCAGTGGAGAATCAGATTCAACTCCTTCCACGTGACGTTGCAGTGTAGTAATTGGAGAGACCCCAACAAAATAGCAGCCACATGGTCTTTGCACAACGCAACAATAACGAATTGTGCCATTTGTAAATCCAGTAACAACATTAATTTGTACCAGCTAAAACTAACGAGGGTTGGGAGTGATTCCTCAATGTTGTCGCCACGCATAGGTGTCCTTATCTTCCACAAGTTGTTCCATAGATCACCATCCGGAGCAAATTTAGTGTATTTGTTTTGCCGTTAACATGTTCTGGTGCAGGTTGTGGCCAATCAGGAAATCTTGTGACATTGAGTTTACAATTTGTGTGTGAAGCCTAAAAGAAAATATTCATGCTGATGTGTTGATTCCACAAGTTATTCAAGTTTTTATTTATAAAAGAAAATTTACTAGAGGAAGGAAAAAGAGGGAGCCTGAGCAGAAGCTTCGTCGTCGCAATAGTGACAGTTTTTTTTTATGGGATCGAGATTAACCAACTCTTATTAGCACCGGCCTAAGAGTTAATTTAATTTGGTTGATTTTAATAAGTGACCTTCTTCTCATCGGTACAAACCTTACAAATACAAAATATTGATTAAAGTCCATTTAATGCTAATTTGCATATTTATAGTAGTGAAATGTAATAATCTATAATTTTCTTAAATTTAAATAATCTCTTCCAAATGTTGACTAACTCTAAGCGCTTACCTTTGTTTTGAGTTAACTAAGCCTAAGTTTCTTAAAGCATAATGCACATTATCATGAGGATGAAATAAAATAATTAAAATTACAAGTAATACATGTCACAAACCTCAAATAGGGTGTAAACGAGTTAAAGTACTTAAAGTTTATATTTAATTTGTAAAAAATTGTTATCCATATTTAAATTATTTATTTGAATAATTCACAATCAACTTTAAAACATTAAATATGTCTAAAATTAAAAAAAGAAGTTGGAATTTAAGGGTATTTATTTGAATAAATTTCTCCATAAATACTACTAGCTAGGAGAAAAAATAAATAAATTTTTCCTCAAGTTAAAATTAGTTTATACATAAGTTATTTTGTTAAAGTTATCTTATATTAGGTTATCTATTTTTTTTTAATTTTTGCATAAAGTAATTTTAATTAAGGAAGAAATATATTCATTTTTTCTCCTAAAAATGCTTATGGTGAAGTTTATCAAGATAAATCTTAAATCATGTAACTTGTTTTGTGACATGACTGATTTTTCTTTATTGAAATCCTATTTAAATTATGTTTTACTTTTATTGATTTAATATTTAAGCTTTTAGCACATATTATTAATATGAATGAAGTGAGTGTAAATTTCTTAAACGAAGTCTAAGGTTTGAGTCTTATATGAATAAAAATAAAGGGTTAAATATATGAGATATCAATGAAAATTATCAATTCAGTTTTCATGGTAAAAAATAGTTATTAATGAAGTAGATAAATACTTTGTCCTTATAATCTTGTAAATAAAAAGACTTCCAATAATGATTTACAAATAAATTATGCTCAATAATCATTAAAGAAATAAAGGACGGTTAATTTTTTTTTTCTCTCTCTCCCTTAATTAGTAGGAAAATTTATAATAATGACAATGAGGATCAAATTAAAGTCCTCAAGTATCTATCTAATCCTCTAACAACTATTTAACTAATTAAAAAGATGAAGATATTATATTTTGATTTGATATATGAAATTAAAAAGAAATGTGTTATAAAATAGAAAAACTACATAGAAAAAAAGATCATATATATTCATAATAAATAACTCAATTTTTTTAAGTAAATAAAGTTTATATTATAACAAGACACAACACCAACACAAAGTTTGAGGTAACTACCAACTTGTTTGAGGACTCGATTTCATTATATAATTTTTCAATTAACTTTTTTGTTATTATGTAAATTTCATTTAGATCGCACTCTAATGTAGTTTTTATTCTTCATGTAATAAATCTCATTTTATTTAGTGGATCTTGTATCAATGTTTTCAATAATAAAGATATATTTAAATAGTAAATAAAAATACGTTACCAATGTTTCTTTTTCTTCATAAAAATAAATTATTGAATGGGATCAAGCTAAACATATACTGTTGATTAAAGTCTTTGTTTAATTGGAAGGTAGCACTGATTACTTCATTGACAACACGACTCATCCATTGTCAAAGATAATGATTTCTATCATAATTATCAGCTTCTTGATACATTAAAGGATTTGATGTTTTCCTTGCAGAATAAGTGAACTTCTGGATTGCTTATTGCAACAACAACACTAATACTCTCTGCGTGGTAACAATGTAAGTGGAAAATAAATATTAAAGGACATTATTAAGTTACACTACTCAAACAGTCAAACTAGTAGTGGACCGTGGATTAAACTTATCTTAATAGGTAGGTATTTTTAGTATAATATTTTGAATTGTGATATACTTATAATAATTTGTATAACATTAATGTGATGTGAATACTGTTTCTATACCTTCTATCATTAAGTCAATTGTATTAGTTTGTCATTTATTATATATTTTTTTTTCTTTTCTGTTAATAATATAAATTATTATACAATTTATTATAAAAGTATCATTTCTTTTATTTAAAAATTACTAGAATGGATCTAATAACGCAATTAAAGTAATATGCATATAAAATGGGAACACCTTGCTATAAAGATAACATATGATTTAATGCATAAAATCATAAGCTAATCCTTCACTCATATCCCTCTTCACCATGAAAGAATCCCACATAGTATATGCCATTAGCTTTGTACTTGATTCAATTAATGTCGTAGACAAAATTTTCCTACACTGTGGTTCTTGTGAAGGCATCACCATTCAATGGAGAAAATTGGATAGGAGATGTTGGATCTAATTTCTTGTGTTCACAGTATGACAAGAGTTCATCTAGAGTCTTGATCTTAAACATAGACTCAGTCTTCATTAACCTACTCATTCCCTTCCTCCCCTGGCCTTAAATTTATTCGTATTTACTTTCTCTCATCTTCATATCTCAAGATCAACCCCTCCAAGGCTTATTTCACTCTAAAAGTTGGTCCTTACACTCTAGTAAGTAATTTTAATCCATCTGTTATTGCAGAAGAGCTCAACCTAGTATTAATTTTTCACTAAGAATTTCTTAGTCAATGTTATTAGGGAGAGAAACTAAACCTAGTGTTTTGTAAATGGCATTGAGATATTCCCAGTTCCCACAATATATACTTTCATGGTTCCAAGTTTCCTATTCCTTATTCCCAATGCATTTGCCTTTGTAAATAGCATTGAGATAAAGTATCTAGGTTTTTTAATGCATGCTTTCTCAAGCACGTAGCTTTTTCTTAGCGTCCAGGTGTTGTAGGTGACATTTAAAGAGTAACTAAATATTTTTGGAAACCAGCACACTTAATATCTTAGAAAAAAATATATTATAAAATATTTTTATTCAGATGATTTTTTTTTTAAAATAATCAAGTAATATAATCAACTCATAATTCTAAACATGCGAGTATCAACATTCTATAGTTTAAGAAAAAATTATTTTAAAAAATGATTTTTTAGTTTTTGAAAAATTTAAACACCTTTATTTTTATTTATTTAATAGAATTTTAAGAACAAAAGTTGAATTTTAAAAAAATTTAAGAATCTTGATCAGTCAAATTTTTATTTAAAGATATATTTTAACAGAAGAAGGTTAAGGGACCTCAACCAATTAAACCTTTATTAAGATGTTTACATTCAATTTCTTTTAAAAAAATAGGAAACTAAATTTACAATTAACCCATTTATTCACTATATTTATTTTAAATTTTTAATATTTTAATTTAACATATTTTTCAAAAAAAAAATTCATTTCTAATTATTTATCTATAATTATTAAAGGAAAATAAAAAAAATAAAATAAATTTACATATTTAAAATTTTAACAAATGATTTACTAAATTAAATTATTAAATTATTTATATTTTTAAA